CTCAGCATCAGACAGTGGACTTGGTACATTCTCAAACGTTTCGCCGGCATCGTAGTCGGCATCATCAGTGTGTTTTGTCATTCTCCGCACCAAGCTACGATCTTATCAAAGAGGAAAGTGAAGCCAATCCCTTGACAAACGTTCTGCCGAAAAAGGTTACACTATCACTCCTCTTTCTGTCCTGGCCTATCCATCTACTCTTTATCCTCTTATCCCATTGCCGCCCTATCACAACTTCTGACTTGTTTACATTCCACTCGTAAAAGTGTGTGCCCTTTTGTGGAAACTCTAATATGGCCTCATCCAACTTGCTATTCACCTCGACCCCTTTCTTACGATCAGCTGATCCGACTCGGTACTCCAATCCGGATACCCTCATTGTCTCGTGGATCCGTACCTTATCTTTCTGGTTGACCAATTTCACTCGATTCCAGTATCAGTGCTCATTTCAATATAGGCGATATTTATCAAGGCCCTAGAAGCACGTACACTGTCGCTTCACTGAGCAGATCGCCTAAGTTCTAATTCCCATGCTTGCAGATATCAGACCTTCCCTTCACGGGTCCTCTCCTTGATTAAAACCATATTATTTTAGCAAACTGTGCACACCTATTTCTGGTTGCATGTGGCATCTCAAGTGGATTTCTAGTACATCTTGACCATGACGCCAAATTTTCCTGACGGATTACTTATCCATCTGCTTCGCTCCCTGACTGCCAGGTCCCCAAAGTTGTACTGGTTTATTCGAAATGGACATCACTCAGTGAACACATCTTCGCTTTATTGCCGGAAACCCCTGCCCCCCCTTTCTTCATCGAGATACCTATTCCTCCGGTTAGCGGTAGATTCTTGATCCAAGCATCTCCTTTTTGCTAGTCTTGCTCTATTCCTGTTGTCCTCGAGTTTGTTTAGGCAGTAGGCAAAATTATCGCTAACTCTACCTCCCTCCAATCTCATATTCATTAGATCTGTCTCCCCAAGGATGTCAATGGCCTCCCAAATCTTGCGCTTCGTTGTGTTATCACCGTATAGGGCCCTTTTTTCTGTTGCTTTCCAATTGGTATCGTGTCCAGTCTTGATTCGTGTGCTAATTTCTATTTCCGTTTCGCCAATATAATTCTGTTTACGGGCACCGCATGATGCATAGTAATTCTTGAACATTCCATTTTGTCTACCTTTCATGTTGCGTCAATAGACGCTACCTGAATATTTCATTTACTCAATATTGCTCGTAGTTTCTGAGTTAGTTTACAGGAAGTTAAGATAAGGTTAATGAGGATCGTCACGAGGCTTCTATTCACAAACTAAGTAAAACCTATTATAATTATCGTTATAAGTTGTTTGAGTTTATAGATATTTAGTTAACGCTCCGGCGGGATTTGTTCAGGATCCTATTTCCGAAATATTTTCAGAAACTTTAGATCATGACCGACAAGAAATCACGTAGGATTTCTGACTTCAGAATAAAACCACATGACGATAAATTGCGTAAGTTTGGGATTATAAGACAGCCTAAGGTAAAGCCAGTACGTCCACTTGAAGTGGCTTTTGAAGTGAGAACGCCTAATGATCAGCACGAGGATAGGAAGAAAGCACTAAACTTATCATCAATTCCTCTTAACCCCCATGCAATCGTGCTCCTGGAAAAATGACTCAATTTTTCGATTAAACATAACAGAAGCCATCTAGGAGACATCCTGTTTGAGGTTAGCTATATCACCGACAGGTTTCCTGAGGAGACAAAACGATTTCAACATATCAGGAGCCTACAGACAGGATCGGATTTGTCGGGATACGCAAAACCCTGGGAATAATGGACAATTAGTCCTTTAGGTGGACAAAGGCGGACAAAATGAAACAAATTCTACGAGACAGGACCCCATATCTTATACTAAACAGGAACTCAACTATGAAAATCAATGGAATTTTAAGGGCCATGCTTAAAGTTATGCATAGGAATTGGGACAAAAAATTAAATCCTAAGTAAGGATGCACGACCACCAACAGCATACGGATTACCAAATATACACAAAGAAGGCGAGCTACTAAGGCTGATAGTCAAAAACAAGTATGGAGCAAGACACAAATTAGCAAATTTTATATATTTGAATCTCAATAAATTAAATAAGAGGCTATCAAACACGGTTAAACATTCATATGAATTTTCTCATAAAATCGAAAACATGGCACTAGAAGAAACAGAATTATTTGTAAG